AGTATGTATTGGATTTGTGTTTACGTACCACTGTAACATAGAAGTATGTAGTGGATTTGTGTTTACGTACCACTGTAACATAGAAGTATGTATTGGATTTGTGTTTACGTACCACTGTAACATACAACTATGTAGTGGATTTGTGTTTACGTACCACTGTAACATACAACTATGTATTGGATTTGTGTTTACGTACCACTGTAACATAGAAGTATGTACTGGATTTGTGTTTACGTACCACTATAACATACAACTGTGGACTGGATTTGTGTTTACGTACCACTGTAACATACAACTATGTACTGGACTTGTGTTTACCTAAGATTTAATTGAATAAGCATGCTCTGAGCATGCGTTACTAGAACAATGCACCGGACCAGCATTTACGCTGGTTTAACGAAGAACATTTTTTTGGGGCTAGTGTTCATAGAAATGCAATTAATAGGCATATTTTGGAAACCTTTTGTAACTTATAACTTCAAACATGTAGTGACGTTACGTTCTATGTTAGAGTTCGCTAGGTTCTGTAATCTCGCCACTTGTCTCATTTACTCGAGTCAACAAAGCGTACAATCAGAGATAAAATTGAAGTTACAACCGGACAAAAAAATAGTTAATTTATAACTAGTAAGTTTGGTTGTTTGTTTTGAGTTTCACGCGAAGCCACACGAGGGCTATCTGCGCTAGCCTTCCTTAATTTAGCAGTGATAGAATTGGGGGAAAGACATCTAGTCATCACCACCCACCGCCAACTCTTGGGCTACTCTTTTACCAACGAATGGTGGGATTGACCGTCACATTATATCGCCCACACGGCTGAAAGGGCGAGTATGTTCGGTGATGGGAATTAGAGTCTGCGACCCTCAGATTGTGAGTCGAGCGCTCTAGCCACCAGACCTAAAACTGGCAAGATGACGGCTATTAAGCAGTGTACAAAAGACGTTAGACCTTTGTGACAATCCTGGTATGTTTTAAAGTAACGTGATTTGTGTAATTTTCTATAGTATGAAAAACTTGCTGTGATGTTTGTAGTTTTAATGAATTAAAACAGAGAAAGTTTTTGCTGAACATATGTATTTTGAGCACATTCATGATTTAGTTTTATTTGTCTACAATGTTAGGATGACAAAATCTTGTCAAAACGTCCTACATTTATAATAGTTATTTCATTACCCAGTCAAGCCGTTTCAAAACTTTTAATTTTAGAAGCATTTTCTTTTAGGGTTGTACAAAAAAATAAATAATAATAATAACGTACGGACTTAACGGTTGGAAATCTTCTTTAACACTTCTATTTTCGAAGATTTCATTGGCTACACAATAAATAATATAATACATGAATTAACTATTTACCGAGATTAATGACGCAGTCAAAAATGAATTTCTTCTTATAATGCACTGTTGTTGTAACTTCTGGGTATGTTATGATCGTCTGGTAAAAAGATATATGTAAATCTCATACAGTTAGGTTTCTCTCTCTCTTACACACAGAAACTCTACATAAAAGCTTTCATGGATAAGTTTTGAAAGGTTCTAAAGACGTCATAAAGAATGACCTCTTTATTTTTTCACGTCACAATAGTATATACAAAAGTATTTTCTGTTGCTTCAGTAACTCTGCAAATAGGTGTCAGAGCCAGCACGAGCGTAAGGAGAAGCAAGTATTAAGAATTGTTGTCGCAAGTATGCGTACATGTATGTCATAATTAAATTCAACCATTTGAAAAATGTTCAAGTAACTATTTTATTAACAGTGCTGAAATATCTATTGGAAAGTTCTAATTGAATGGTGTAAGGTTAAGACGCACTTATTTGGTTTTGGAGTATGTTTCAAAGTTAGATAATCAGGCTGTGGTACCAAATTAATAACGTAACAGAAGAGTTAAATGAATGTGATCAAGGTCGAAGCACAAGTAAAATTTATTGCATTAGTTTCACCTTGTACCTAAAAAAATATGTCCAGGCCTGTTATGTCCACATATCTACCTCTTCGTTTTTAACGACATTTACAAACTCCTAATGAAATACTTAGTTTCTTACCTTTTCCTCCTCTCGGCCATTTTCTTTTTTGCTCTTATCTAAACAAGCGACGGAGAAAAAACCGGTCTTGTGTTTTAGTTCTACACGTTTGGACTCCATATTGTGTCAGGAAAGCCAGCCATGAGCCCGGAGAAATTATCAAAGCGGGGTTCACTTTTATAGTGATCAGGGGTTAAAAAAATAATTATTCTAATAAGTAACTAGGTGTGCTTATAATTTCTTCGAGGTAAAGTTTGAGGAAGATCAAGAAACAGGGTATGGAGATTAGAAGTGTTTGAGTAATTCTTTCTGTGACAAAGCTAAAACTTGCTAACTCGCTCCCGGACTAGCAGCCTCGTTAATGAGCTGACGGCGTCGCCGGGAAAGCAGCTAGCTCCTGCTTATCGATCGCCACATTTGCGCGGGGATCGTCTGTGAGAATGCACGTGGTAGTTCCAGCGTTTGCACGCATGTTGGCTGTGGCTCGTGCATAGCAACGTGCATTGGGCGTACGATGTGCTACACGAAGACGTCACTACAATATAGACTGTTTTTGATTTGTTTACTCGAAAATCAGGGATCCCTGACGTCATAGCATACAGGTGAAACACTGTATACTGGGGATTTAATAACAAAGAACTCAGAGTCAAAATATCCTCGATCAGGTGAAATGTCATGCCAACAAGTTAAAAAAAACAGCTCTTAATAAAAGTAATTTAGTGTTTTCACATTTATAAATGCTTTATTTATACAGTAGAAAACACACAAACGTCATAATATAAAAATTTTCCATGCACATCCATTAGAGACAGAGAGAAAAAAGTTTTTTCTTTAAAAATTTACATTAATCGCAAAAGTAAGACAGCACTTACCTCGAAAAATAATTAAGCTAATGAAAGAAAACTGCGACTGAAAATATTATTCTAGATTATGCACTTTTTAAGTTTTGTGTTTATTAAAAACGCCCCCTTAGGTTTTGCAACATGCTTTTAAAGTATCACTTGTTCTAAACTGTTTTAGTTATAGTTACTCACATACATGTATATAGACAGTGGAATGTAGAGGGTTAGACAAGCAGGATGAACGATAGATGAGGGTTAGGCAAACAGGAAAAGATAGATGAAGGTTAGGCAAACAGGTAGAAAAATAGATGAGGGTTACACAAGCAGGTAGAAAGATAGACGAGTGTGAGACAAGCAGGTACAAAGATAGATGAGGGTTAGACAAACAGTTACAAAGATAAATGAGGGTTAGACAAACAGGTACAAAGATAGATAAGGGTTAGACAAACAGGTACAAAGATAGATAAGGGTTAGACAAACAGGTACAAAGATAGATGAGGGTTAGACAAACAGGTAGACAGATAAATGAGGGTTAGACAAACAGGTGCAAAGGTAGATGAGGGTTAGACAAACAGTTACAAAGATAGATGAGGGCTAGACAAACAGTTACAAAGATATATAGGGGTTAAATAAAGTTGGTAGACAGATAGATGAGAGTGGGAGACAGATATTTACACTGCTCATCTTTAGGAATCTGCTAGAAAGATGCTTTAACAGGGGAACCCGCCATACACAGTTTGCACGTGTTTAGAAGTTGATCTCGACCAGTTGACCACCTTCAACTTCTGTTGTAAATGTTATTTAAAAATGCTCTCCTGTAATTTGAACAATTGGAGTCTCTTACCGCGAACAATATACCACTCTTTGTTTGCACGACTAATTTTGATCTTATTATTCCTAGTAAGTTTAATTATTTTGGTGAAACTGTTCTTTCATGGTAATTGATATCATACTTTGATTCTTCATCTACCAAGGTCACGTGCTTTTCTTGTTGGTAACCCAAGCTGCTGTAGTATGTTAACTGTGCTTTTCTTAAAGCATCTCAGTTTAGTGAGAAAATAAAAATTAAATTGTCACCCATCATCAGGATAGATCTTCCGATCGATCCAGCAGACATTTTATTTCAATACCGTCAACACTAAATATTATTTTTTTTATGTTCGGACGTGCTTATAGATTTTGCACAGATAAACTATTTACGGAATGCAGATAACATGTTAGTGTCCTAGTTACACGTTGTCATTTTCCTTTGGCGCCTTTTAATTACCCTCCAAAAGATGTCATTGTAGTTTAGTACATGATATCCACAAGAAGGTCGACTATATAGAGGCTTCGTAACATCTGGGGCTCTGTCCTTCCTACTTCTACTTACGGGATACCACGAGTGACGTAGGTAACGGGGAGAGAGAGTTGAAAGTATTGTGTGTTCCATTTAGTATTCATCTCTCTAAGTACTTATTTAGAAATATCTTTATCTCTTTTCAGTCTCAGAAGAGAAGTGTTTCTTGTAAATGAAGTGTGTTTGTTTGTCTTTTGTATAACAAAGAATTGTTTGTTTTTAATTGGCTTCAGTCAGGTCGGAAAATCAGTTTAACTCTGTATAACATTTTCTGTCTTCCATCCAGTTATTGCTGTTATTATTTTTACCTGTACTTAAGAAACTCACATTCATCGTTCGTGCAAGAAGTCGGTGAAAACATTATTGTGATAATTTGTACCAAGCTGGATCTGTGTGTATTTGCTTCTTATGTTGAGCGTGTTTATTAATTTGATATACGAAATTTAAATTGATTTGGGCCTTAGAAAGAGAGGGAAAAAGAAAGAAAAACAGCTGAATTAAACGCAACGCGCATTTCCAAAATGGCGTCTCTAGGGAAAACTGTTTGAAGTGGCGAGGGGTGTGTGTAGCTAAAGCTGTCATGCACATAAGGCATGCTATACGTGTAAATGTCATAAAACTTAAATTCTGTTTAGTCCTTAGCACACTCTTACATTTATGAGCATAACACACAATATAACACATACATATATATATATACATAGAGAGAGAGGCAGATATGTACAGTATTTTTCGGTGTATAAGACGCACTTTTTTACCACAAAATTTGATGTCAAAATTTGCTTACGTCCTATACACCGAAGGTGTGAATAACATATACACAGCGTGGTCACAAA